AAAGGAGATGGTCAGCACACACAGTCACCAACACACCACACTCAAACTTGAGAGACAGAGAGAGTGAAACAGAGAAACAGAGATGTTAGTTTCACAGTCACAAATCTCAGACACATTTCCAGAGAGACAGATAAAAGAAAAACAATCACAGAGACAATCTCAGAGAGAGACACAGACACAGACACAGAGAGAAAAAGAAACAGAGAAATAACAGAAAAACAATCAGAGGAAACGAAAGAAAAATAAAACTAGTCTTGCTAGTCGTCAGACACAGTGAGCTCAAGGTATGTGCTAGATGTTCAACACAGTGAGCTCAGATATGTTGTGCTGGTTGTTGAGCACAGTGAGCTCCAACCTTGAACCACACTTGCTGAATGCTGATTCACACTTCACTCACAATTTTATTCTGAGAGGGTAAAAGTGGCACTTGGGCATGCATTTATTGGGCAAGAAACAGCTCCTTATATAGACAAATTGGTGGCTATACTACTAGTTTCTCGTACTTAAAGTTGTAACTTTACTGTGATAGTACCAAGTCACACAATATCTTTGAGTCAAAAAGTAAATATTCATAACTCTCGTTGGTATAATGATGAGTCAGCAAGAGCTGTGTATAGCCCATGGGTCAGGTGTCCCTTGATGACTCAGCTAGACAAGGAGTGAGAAAGTGATTACATATTGTGTACATATGTTTGTGCAATCTGTGGCTGATGAATTGATTGGTAGCATAATGACATAAGATGCGTATTTAAGGATTTGTAAGCTTTCCCACAGGGTAACCTTACGCAAACATATTTTTCATAGTCACCTGATATGTGTGAGAATCTTTCTGAGTCATCCTCATGGCTGACTAAGCAAAACTCATTGCAAAATTAAATGTACAAAAATATTCAGTCCACTCGCATATAATCTCGTAAAATGAAAAAAGCGAAAAATATTCCCTTAGCCTTAGTCTGACTTCAGATCACAGGAAAAATGATTTCATAGGGCATAGGGCTCATAGGAGAGTATTAGTCATCCATGCACTGAACCAGTTTGGTGCAGGTCAGTGGTTGGTTCAATGCGGTTGTGAGGAGAAAAGGAAATGCAATTAGAAAGATTTCAAAGTAATTGAAAGGAGGTACTAACCTGAATATCCTGTCTGTGCACATCGGAACGAATGAGCAAGGCATGATATACTCGCTTGAAGGTGCATGCAAGGGTTGGCTCGTCGATGACTGAAATGTCCCAAGCACCTTTTGAGGATGGAATAGTGTTGTGCCACGCTCTGCGTTGCTCTTCCTGGAATAGCATGATGGCTCATTGAGCTAATAGGTCACAAGAGTTCCAGTAACAATGTAGCATGATGGCTCCCCAGAATTGAGCTAGCATCAGCACACATTGTTGAGGCCAGTCATGTTCTTCTAGAGCTGCGACTATACAAGGAATAGCTTGTGCAAAATCTGCTGGAGATAAGTGTCTATCCGCTATGATGCCTGATGCTGGTTTAGAGGATGCGGAGCTTATCCAAACTGTGGAACCATCTTCACTGGTGGTAGGAACTAAGCTATCGTTGTCGCAAGTGCGGTAGTTGACCATTGCATCATCTAGTCCATGGTTCGTCCAGTAGTACAGTTCTATATACTGACCTTTGTCCAGTTTGCATATTGTGAACTCTGAAATTAAGATTAAGGCTTCTTCATCATTGGCAAAGGGACGAGGGCACATGGGTATTGGAATGTGTTTTAGACGGTTTTTCTTCTTTTCATCCGCACGCGCTGCAGCTTCTTCAAGTTGCAAAGCTGCTCGTTGACGTTCCTGATCTTCTTCGTCTAGGCACTGCTTCTCTGCTTTCAGTCTGTCGTCCTCTGCAAGTTGTTGTTGCCACTGTAAGCACAGGTCTTCATTGGTGGTCACCCATATGTTGTGAAGGGTGTCAGCGGCCTGGGCTTCGGTGACGTTGGCTGTTACCATGCTGATCCGACTGATGTGATACCTTTCGGACATGAAGTTGGGGCATACTGAAAACCTAGGATCTGAATGGAGTCTATCCATTGCAATTTTTCAGTAAAACTGCTGCAGCTGTTTTGACGATGTTTTTAAAAGTAGACTAAAGCAGAGTATGGCTAATGATGATAGCACAAGGCGAAATGCTCAGTGTATGAGCACTGATAGGGAGAGGAAGAGAAAGCACGAGTTGTTCTTCCCGAAATGGCATAGACTTCATTCTAATCATGTGTTCGTTCCTCACACTTTGAGAGAACACGACCAACAGAAGACAGTTGCCGAAATAACTTGTTGAACTCACCAGGTGATCTACAAAATTGACACTTCACCAAGATTTCGGACATATGAGATATCCATTTGCTTGTTGTCATGGCAAGCCTCATATTCTCAATCAAAGGAGAACAAAAGAAATACATACAATTGTTGCCCGACGAGGCTTAGTGCACTTGGTGTCTGATCGGCAGTGTGACAATCAGATAGTAGCTGTTGTGGTTAGGGTTAGAGGTTTTGGTAGAGGAATGGTTCGAATTTTACATCCACCAAATACATACAAACACGTTGCATCCAAATCAAGGAGTGAACTTTTTAATGCAAAGCACTGTAAGTAGTGGCCGTAATATTGTGGCCTCTCACAGGCCCCCTGAAGCTCCCTATAAGGTCTGTCCGTCCAGAACCCCAAAATCAGCCCCAAAAAATGCAATTTTTCGACCATCAAAAATGCTAAGTCGGATAGAGGTCAGTGGTCACACAGTGTGACCTCCGCCAAAGTGTGACATTTCCATGTTGTGCACCGCGCAATACTGGGAGTACATAAACAAGATATGTTAGTGCTTGGGGACATATAACTTCTAACTGGCTTCTTAGACAATCCTTTCCCCACTGCTGGAAGCTTCAGTATAACCCTCTTCACCGAGGGACGTGCAAGAGCATTCCAACAAGCTGCAGTCTATCTCCAAGTCACTACATGACCTGCCCTGAAGTGCGCCTGAATCACCACCAAAAATGCTAACTTCGTGTGAAAAATTGACGGTCCTTTTGGTGACGGTTTGCAGTCTCGCCTAGACTGCAAACGTGACACGTGACGACTTAGCCACAGCGCTGCCTTCCTCGTTGGGCTCGATTGCCAATCGCGCTCCACCTGGACCTCGACCACCAACGATCAACGTTTCAACGTCGCGGATGGAAAAGCAGCCTGGCGTCGCCGTCATCCGACGAAGAACTACCGTTTTTGGGAGATTGCCCACAGGATCGGATCAGTGTTTTATTCGTGCGTCCATCATTCACTCACCACCTTTTCGGCACTGACTTGGATCTGCTTCAAGATCTCCTACCACCAGATCATCAAATGGCGCCTAAGCCAGAGTCTCGACTGCCTCTAAGGCACCTACAAAGACTACTGACAAGGCTAATGAGTGTTGAGGCAGGTGCACCGTGAACAAGGCCATGGCCATCCCGAACTCGTTTGTCAACGATATCTTCGAGCGCATCGGTATGCCCTCCCTCTGCTTCTTCATCGTGGGTCTAACGTTGGCCGCAGTGTTGAGGCAGGAGGTGCACCCCGATAAAGGCATCTCCAATGAGGCCATGGCCATCCTGAACTCGTTTGTCAACGACATCCCCCAGCGCCTGAACTCATTTGTCAATGACATCTCAGAGCGCACGACCATCCTGAACTCGTTTGTCGACGACATCTCAGCGCGCACGGCCATCCTGAACTCGTTTGTCAACGACATCTCAGCGCGCACGACCATCCTGAACTCTTTTGTCAACGACATCTCAGAGCGCATGGCCATCCTGAACTCGTTTGTCAACGACATCCCCGAGCATGCGGCCATCCTGAACTCGTTTGTCAACGACATCTCAGCGCGCACAGCCATCCTGAACTCTTTTGTCAATGACATCTCAGAGCGCACGGCCATCCTGAACTCGTTTGTCAACGATATCTTTGAGCGCATCGGTACGCCTTCTTTCTACCTTCTTTCTTCTTTGTCGAGTCCTGCCTCAAAGGCACCTGCAAAGACTACTGACACCCTGATACGGGGATCTCCAACAAAAGGCCATGGCCATCCTCAACTCGTTTGTCAACAATATCTTCGAGCGCATTGGTACGCTCTCCTCTACTTCTTCATTGCAGGTCTAACTTTTATTGCAGTGTTGAGGCAGGTGCACCCTGGTACGGGTATCTCCAACAAGGCCATGGCCATCCTGAACTCATTTGTCAACGACATTTCCTCAAGATCGTTTGTGGTTGGTTACAATAGAACCTAGGGTTCGGAATGCAAGCCGTTGCATTCCGAACCCTAAACTAGGGTCATTTAAGAGGTAGATGACTGCAGCTGTCAACACGACAGATGAAGATTAATTTGTAGGCCTACAAGTACGGTACTTGAATTAAGATTAAGATGTACTAGTATAGTCAGATAGAAATAGCTATGGATACAGATGTACGATATATGGATTAAGTATGTAATGCAAGTGGGAAGAAAAGAAAGAAAAACCCACTGAGAATCGAGCACACTCACTGGGAGGATGATTGAGCAGCCAAAACCCTACTAGAGATGTCTGGTCGTGTCGCTAGAAGTTCACGCCACTTCTTTGCGACGGCGTCGTCCTTGCTTGATACATAGCTCTTCCCACCCTTGGTGTATCGGAATGCACCTTGAGCCAGTGGATGGTCGAGATTCCCATCAAAAAATGTGCATGCATCATTAGCATCTTGAGTGGCCGCTGAAATCCGCTGGTCCGCAATGCAGTTAAGGATCTGCTGATAGGAAAACCTCTTGCCATTTCTGTCACTGAATGCACGCCAAAACGAGGTGGTGTCTGGGTAATGCTGGCGTTCCTCAGCAATGAACTGGAGTTGGATTTGAGAAAGCACTGGGTGTAGCAGTGTCCGAAAGGTGAGAACATACCTTCCAATTTCCCCATTCCACCCGCAGAGCATCCCATGCTGTGTTCTTGACCCCCTTCCCTCTCTTGTAGAACTCACCCCAATATTTGACAGGAATTCCGCGACCACCCACACAGAGCAAGTTCGAGCTCTCCCACTCCTTACATAGCCGGTCGATATCCCGAGAAAGATGAATCATTGGTGGCTCTGGGACTTGTGTCTTGTCGTATTCGAACCTTTCGCCATCAAGCAATGCGATCCCAAGCTTATGTGAGTGAATGGGGTTGCGGGGCATGGAACGCAGCGCTGAGCTGACCGACTGGCCTGACGATGGCATCAGACTGGATACTTGAACTTCAAGCTGGGCAGCATGAACTGGCATAGGCGCTTGGTTATGGTGGGGACTTGGATGGTCTACAGAAGGTGCTGGGGTACTGAGGGTAGGGCAATGCTCATTGCGGACAAGTGATTTCAGGTCCATAAGGTGAGCCGTCACATTGTTGATATTTCCCTCGATATTGTAGATGTCATCTCTGACCGACAGTACATTGCGCTCGACTCTGCGCATGCGAACAGCAAACGACTCCTAATTGTGACTGTCAGGTGAGCAGCTCATCGGTCCTTCAAATGTCTCACACACCATTTCATGCAGGGAACCAAACTGCTGTGGTTCTGCTGGTGCCAGGTCCCCACCACGACTCACCTCATCATGCTGTACTGGCATCTGTGTTTGCCGGCGTTTTGGCAGGGACGGCGCACAACTGAAATCAGCCGCCATTCCAAATGCGGAGAAGACTGCTTTGGCCTGTTAGAAACTGCAGTGAGTACTATACTAGTGAATTCCTCATTTTCGACTGGAAGCTCACCCATGATGTGTTTGCAGCACGATCCTTATCAACCAGGGTGCGTTGAGTGCGGTCTGCCCCCTTCTTGCTCTTGTAAGTGGCTGTTTGCTCCGCTGCCCCAAATGTGTCCTCAATCCGCTTGCGAGACAGCGTCATTCGAGAGGTGTGTTCCCCCCGCTTTCGTTTGAGCTTCGGCTGGAACAAACTACTCACTCCCATCAGGTACACCAGTCAATTCAGCAGCTGCCAGCACACCTCAGCCATTCAGCCTCGTCATTCGAAAAATCACGGAGGCGCTGCAGAGCTTCCTCTCGGTTACCACTGATCGCCTTCCCATACTGCTTTAGCTTCTCTCGTATCTCAGGCCTTTGTGGTCCTTCGAGTCCTGTCAGTGAGAGTTCAATGTGTTGCTACATGTCAGGGGCTGATTTACTTACAGCATGAATTGAAATGCAACAAGTGGCACACCAGGCATGTACTCCTGGCCGACGACAGGGAGGCGAAGCACCTCGGCACCAGGTTCTAGCATAGCAGTGTGCGTGTTGAGGGTGTCACTGCAAGTTGCTTTAAATCCTGGTCTAACTTGACGGCATGTTCCGGCAACAATTTGCAAATGCTTTCAACTTAGCGTTCCTTCACAGATACCACCTGCCATGTCTCTAGCTCGACTCAAGGGTGCCGCCACTTATCTTGATGAGTCCCAAGGCACTGTCAGTATCGAAGCTGCAGTCGAGGACCAAGACGAGGAGGTGGAATCACTCATCAATAGCTTCGATGTCGACAAACAGGCTGCTTGTGGCACCCTGCGTCCTGTTGGTGCTGATGAGGCCACTGCGCCACCATCAAAGCACAGGAAGGTGGCTGCCAGACTCATGGACCATGTCCAACTCTCTTCGAGCCTTGAAACGGCCTCAGCGGGTGTCGTCGTGGACACCACCCTTTCAGACTATCAGCGGTACATTCAATTTTGTCTCTGTGAACCTGCTGTTGACATGTTGCACAGGTACTGGCACCAGTTCAAAGATTTTTGTGCAGTGATTGAGAAGGTCAAATCTGCCAATGATGTCGATGGCCTCTGGCCTGATCTACCGGCCGACTTTCCTACTTGGATTGCCCTCTGGATAATGGACAAGTAAGTTTCACTTCCCGGTTGCCATATGTGCTGCATGGCTGATCAAAATCACAGATGTGATGAAAATGACATCTGGACTGGTAGGACAAAGGCACCGAGCATCCCCCGTGCGACGTACGGCACTGCACAGAAGTTGAGGGCTGCAGTCAGCCACAAGTTTGGCCGCGACCATAAGCTAGGTACTCAACCATGGTCAGAACATCCGACCATTACTGGGAAGTTTATCGGGAACCCGTCACTTTCAGTAATGGTCTCACAATACATGGTTAGCCTTCGTCGCAGAAAGGTGAGTGCTCTGCATGTCAGTGGTACAAACTACTGATTCATCCTTCAGGTACGGGCAGGGGAGGCTGTCACGAGTGCTTGAGCTATGGATGAGGCTACCATGAAGCACCTTTGGGATTTTGCGTGGGCAACACCACGCAAGGAATATGGACCAATGTCGCGCAAGCAGAAAGCCGAAAATCCTGCAGAATGGGCGGGATTTGTGATCCGCATGATGCTGCTGTTACTTTACTTGGTCTCAATGATCTGTCTCCTGCGTTATGATGAGGCCTTGCGGATTACTTGGGCAGATATAACTTTTCAAGTCAAGGACAACGTGATCGAGGACAACTGGCTCGACACATCCACAGATCTATTTCTTCAGGACACAACCACATTCCGACCCGTTGACTTCCGTGTGAAACTTGAGCTGCCATTCAGAAAAACGCATCAATATGGAGGTGCGTGCTCAAGTACTCAAGTGTGCATGGCTGATTTTGATCATGGCAGGCATAGCACCATTCTATATATATCCTGACGAGGAGCGTCCGTGGATGTGCTTGGTGCGGATGTTTGCAGTTTGGTGGGTATTGGCGAGGGAAAGGTGCGAGAACCTTGATGGCTTCATTTTTCGGAAGAAAATCAGTACCGACAGTATTAGCGTGAATCCCACAGACGGCATGGTGGGTGTCCTGTGCTTCTTGGCACTGCTTCTGATTTATCTGGCCTAGACCTCTGATGCGTTCCTCGAGTGTTTTCGCAATAACCTCCTGGATATTGGTGTGGATCCACGTCCTTATGGCACTCACTCCTTTCGGTGGGGCGGGTGTCAGTTTTTATACAAGGTATGCAGGTGGGACTTTCGGGACATATGTGACTGGGGAGGATGGGCCGAAAACTTTGACAATCCAGGTACCATCTTTAAATACTGTCGTGGAATGACAATCCCTGGGAGCAACGGGAGCACTACATGAATCCCAACCGGCCCAGGAAGGACCCTTGTCATACTTGTGGTAGAACTTGTCATTGTGCTTAATAATAGTAATCTAATACACGGTAGATGAAGTGAAACAGCGTGAGCACAGAGAGTAGATGAATGTGAAGTGACAAGATAGCAATTGTAAGACAGATGAAGAAGAAGTTTCAGAACGACCCCAAGAAGGAAGTCATTCTTGCAGCAATACAAATGAAGTACAATTACATTTCAGAACAACCCGAGAAGGAAATCATCCTTGCAGCAATACAAATGAAGTACAATTACATTTCAGAACTACTCGAGAGGGAAGCCATCCTTGCGCATCAGATAGTGAGGTCAATGATTTCATGGTCTCCACCTTCGTCTTGGGTGAGGTCGATGATATCCACATATGAAGAGGGGGAGACAGTGGCAGCAGACGACGCAGGGCCATCATCCATTGTGTTGTCCTCGAGGTCAATTGCGTGTGACATGGAAGGCTCCGGAGACATAGGGAACATCATTCGGACCCAGCAGTCATATATGTCATCAGCAAGCCATACACGAATATACTCAGTTGATTGTGTCACATCATCTGAACCCTTTGAGCTTCCAGTGGGAAGCAGCTGAAGTGTCGCTCGTTCAAGATCACAGATGGGCACATCATTGTTGTGGCCTGCAATCCCCGCAAGGACTTTCTTTGGACGCCTCACACGACACTTAAATATTACCCTTGTACACCCTGGTGCGAGGTCAATCTGTGAGCAGCACATCAGTATATTAAAAGCAAGATAAAATGATCGATGGACCTCAACACTCGCAGGGGAGTTTTTTGCAATGTCCTCGAGCAATTCGTGCAAGACCACAATGGGCCAGATGTTAGAATGAAATGAGCTGACGAGTTTCTTCGAGTCCCAACCAAGGAGTTGCTGGACAAGCAAGGCCAATGGTGCGAGGTCAGGTGGTGCAGGGGAATGCAGGATGGGAAGCTCCATGAGTGGGGTGATGGCAGGTTTTGCATACAAATTCAGAATGTGTTGATTGGGAAATAATCAGGAAGGGCTCGGGCAATGGCAGGGTGAGCTCGACCCATCTCACCTGTGGGATCATCCATGAGATGGTACCGAGCATCCATCCGCCACCGTTCAAGGGTCTGATCGGGCGAGTTTCTGCCACATCCAGTGTCTCGTAACACACTGGTATTCATGCAGCGCACAAGACCAAGGGCAGTCTCACGACCGCACCCAGGAAGGCCATTCTGACAGACATTAATGAGAATCATCATCTGGTACAAAGAAAAGCATGCTAACTTACATTGTCGTAGTCGCCACCACAGCAGACAGCCATGGTCATGAATCCGTCGATGGTAAGGTGTGGTTCCACCCGTTCCTGGATGGAACTAGTAGTGTACATCTTGACGGTCGCAGTTGCATCAGCTGAGAATGACGAGCTAAGAAAGAAAATCATTCAAACCCGCCAATAAAAAAAATTGCAATAGCCTTACTTTCGAAGGACGGTCTGAGCACCAAAGACAAAGGCATCGCTATCATCAGTCATGACAGCATCAATGATCCCTGCATTTTTCATCAAGGCTAGTTGAGCTTCAGCCTCTCCCGCAGCCTAGGCAGTAGGCAGATGCAATAGATGCAATGTCAGCAACAAAAAGTAAGATAGAAAAAATAAGTACCGTAATCCATTGCATGTTGAACGCGTTGAGGATACGCTGAGTGGGCTGGACCATCCAGTGGTCTTTTGTAGACACACGATGGCCTCTTTTGACATTGGGCCGCTGATCGCCGTCGTAACAGAAAATGAGCTGTACTGGGTGCCGCGCGAGTCGAGCGAGCCGAAACAGAAAGGTCCTAATGGTGGGGTTCATTCCGGTTTGAGAATGCGCACGGTGCCACCTTCCTTGCTGACATTGTTCAAACCATCCGCTGCAGAATGGTAAGTCGTCAAACACGGAAACACCCGAGATGTTGAAACTGACCTTGCATCGATACCCACTACATAGGGTGAGTGAGGCGCTGGTCCTACATAGCGGTCCGAGACAGCAAGGGACACGACGGGTACCGTCGTCGCAGCAGGCTCAAGTACCTGTGGAACCAGAGGTGAGCTTTCTGTTGACTGAAGTTGCATACACACGTACCTCCCACAGATTATTGATGCCCATGGCAACAGGGACTCGCCAGTTGGTACCAGTAGTGGAATGTTGAAGAGAGGTCGTGGCCACTATAGGTGATGGTGATGATGACGAGAGGGTGACGAGAAAAGGGTACCAGTACACGTACCCAAGTCGATTATAAATCATGTGGCGCTTGGACTGCAAATTTGGCGAGGACTGTCAATTTGCAGTCCATCAGCCTGAAGGGCGTTTTTTTCGCGGAGGAAAGCACGCGCCCCCGCCAATTCCTCAGCTGGGTCAAACCGGCAAATTGACGTCCCAAACGTGGGAGATTTGCAGTCCCTTCGGCATGTTCCCTAGGGAGGTTGAGATTTGGCTCACCTGTAATCCCTCGCCTTGTCCAGCGGTGGTTTGAGCTCGTCCGAGGCTCAAAACGTCTCAATTTTTCCGTCTACGATGTCGATCACTCGTCCTCCGTCCCTCCACGCGATCCGTTCCAGTCTTGGACGAACAGATCATGCTGCTGGCTGGGGTCGCGTCCTTCTTCTCTTACTCAGTTTAGGTGGCGCGTGGCGTGGTGGCGGTGCCGGCTTTGTCAGCCTCAGCTGGACCGTCAATTTGCAGGTGATCAGTGCTTCTTCGGACAGACATCGGCCCTCCAAAAGCCTCAAAAATGCTAAGTCTGGACAGAGATTTGGCCAAATTTCGGCCTCAAAAATGCTAAAATTCGGACAAACCTATGGGGGAGCTTCAGGGGGCCTCCTCTCACTTGGCTAACAATAGCCGCTTTAGCCGGCTATAACCGACAGTATTTAATCGAGTTTAGGGAGTACCGAGTAGCAAAGGATGGGATTTCGGGGGTGCGCATACTGAGGGCGAACAGTGTCAGGATGCTGATTATGTTGTAGCGAGTCAGACTGCATTCACAGATCCCGATTCAGCGCGAGCACCTTGATCAAAGCTAATTGGCCTATTCCGAATGGCTCACAACTCATCCCACACAATTTCCGATAGCATACATATATCTTGCGTCCGATGCTTCCATTAAAATTCCTCGCTGTGCAATAGCTTGCGGGTGAGTGAGCTCAAAAGATCCTCTGTCATAAATACTAAGCCAGAAACCGAAGAGGCAGAAGAAAAGCGAAGACGAATATCAGCGTTATCTAACGTCTACCGCTTCCCTATTGCTCACACGAGGATGTATGTCAGCGACACCAACTTCACTCCGTTGTTGGTCCTGCAGATGCAGAGCGATTTTTTCTGCAAGGCCATCCTTCTCATTGAAGCTCTCGGGTTCTCCATCCCCATCCTCTTCATCGTCTGTTTCTTCTATGATGGCGCCTTGTTCTCGGAACACGAGGTAGGAGCCCTCAAACACCTGCGAACCACGGTTAGGACTGAGTAAGGCGGAGTGGCGACTCTGACCTTGGAGTTCTGTGCAGCACAGATTGCCTTGATAATCTGACCCTCATGCTTAGCGTGGAGTGTACGTCGGAATGAATGAGTCAGGAAAGGAGAAAGGGAGCTGAGTGGCCAATCTGGAGGTACGAGGGGAATGACCTGTAGATGTTTTGTATGAGACGTCGTAACGACAAGGTAGTGCACATCGAGTTCGTGCCTATAAGGAATGCACTCACGTCAACAGCATCTAGACTCGCAGCCTGTGAGCTCAGTAGTCTTGTGGTTTGCTGGGGCTCCCTGCGAAACAATCATATGTGCCAAGATCAGGCTCGTGGGGTTTTAAACGTACCCATCTTCCATATAAACTTCTAAAAGCATTCTCACCAACTCACCCTTTCCCTCTGAACTCTTTTCCCTCTCCAAAATCCCAGGACCACCCTTAGCTGCGAACAGCGCGCCCCATTCACCCATTCCGCAAGCTTCGACAGCTTTTGAAGGAACAACAATGCCCCCCGTCCGAGCGTATGTCTCCGCAGAGACCGGATCTCGTAGCGTGAGGGCCAGTGCGCGGAGGGCCATCCTGTGCATTCCCATCTAGAGAGCAACTCAGACAATAGGAAACATTGTGTATCAGAAATACTGACCTTTCCGTCAAGCAACGCCACTTCCAAGCCAAGGACTTTGTCGAAGCCGCTAGCAACAATCTGCGACTTGATCATTTCAGCATTATAATCCGATAAGGCCTGCAGAGCAAACAAAGCTTTGAGCCGTGCGCGTTTCGATGGAGAGTCGGGTGCTGTCGATGCGAAATAGGTAAGGAAGGACGATTGTGGACGTTGAAGCTGCGTAGATGGAAGGGAGAGTGCATGTTTTTGTGAAGTTTGCGAGGTGTAAGAAGCGACTATTATTTATGCACTGGGTTGAATATTTGAGCGACTAGCATGAATTTAACGCACATTTGGCACGCCAGAGTTTCAGAGTGCTCTCGTCTTGCAGGCACTCGAGCAGCTCGTCGACACATGCTTGCACGAGCTGTGCATGGAGTTCCGCGTCCTTATCAAAAAGATTCACAGTAAGCTTCCATGATAAATGCGGGGCATAACGAAATGCGCAACATACATCTCGCCTTCTCACAATGACTAGCCACTCCAAGAACTTCCTTGCTGCACTGGAATGTAACTGTTGCAACTCGGAAAGAATGGCGAGATCCTCTTCTCGGTCTTTTTCTTTGGCAGACCTCTTGGTCGACATAAGAAGCTACACCGTTATGTGATGAGTTGCGCACATCTACTGTCGTCTTATGCTTACCATAAGCCCTCGCTCTGAATCTCGTGCTGTTAGCCATACTCCCCATTTTCGAAGCATTGCCCTGTCTTTTCCCTGTTTTGATTCTAGCAAGGCAAACATATTACTCAGGGGGTCCGACACGGAAGAATCACTATATAGTCCCTCAATCAATCTAAGGTGGGCATCAGCATTGTCGGTCTCTGTTGAATGATGAAAGGGAGGGTCAAAGCAGTACCTACCCCTTCCAAATCTCCATCACTCGTCCTTCGTCGCCTCTGGCCCTGAGTAATGCACATAGAGCACCTACTTCTCCGGCTTCGAGGAGTACAGGTTCCACAGCTGAAAGGCTTGCAGAATTTGTGCTTTCAAGGTGAGAAATGAGAGAAGTGGTGTCACCCGATCGTGCGAATAATATGGCGAGGGCTGTATCCGTCACCTGGCAATTCCTTTAGAATCATATAACTCAAACATGAAATCATATAATGACCTCCTGCTGCTTGTGCTTTCCTTGTCCCTTGAAGCCTTGGAGGATAGACTTGATCATCACTATGGCTTCTTCCCGAAGAATCTTGTGAATCTCCTGGGTAGCAGGCGCCTCACGAGTGGAGGGCGGGAGATGAGGGGAGTAATTCCTGACTAGGTTTGCGGCAACTATCAGTTCCGCCCAGACGGGGGAGAGGGGTGGGTGAGTCGGGTGCCGGGGTGTCGGAAAGAGGTAGCAGCGCACGGTCGGGAAGAGAAGGATGGGAAGGGGAATTTGATAGATTTGAACACTCACTAAGATCATCAACGTTTGCCTCGATAGGCATTCGCTTTGAAATACCGTCGTACATGTCCGCCTCTTCACCATCAGTGAACAATGGCCGCGATAACTCAGGAAAGTAAGATACAAGGATACGGGGATCCAGTCCACCTGCAAGAAAGTGTGGGGCTGCATCCACGAAACGTGTTTGAGAGAACAGAGTGAATGCGATAGCTTGGTGTATGTATTCCAGTGTTTCCACCTTTTGGACCGGTCAATATTCGTCTGACAAGCAGATAGAGTAACAGCACCTCGTCAGAATCTAATGCCTGAGCAGATGCGAAGTTGTTTGCGAGGTCGACAGCATCCTTGATGTGGTTGTTTTCAAGCAGTGCTTCAACTTGAGCAATGGCAGTCGATTGAACCAGCGAATGAACAGTGTCCTGTCCGTAAACCAAAATGGAAGAACGGGGGAAAGAACCATGGCGCATCCTGACAGACTTGCCAGTGCGTACAAATGCTGACGAGCTTTCAGTTCCTCAATTTCAGAAGGATGCAAAAAAAGTTAATAGTCGGGTGCGGTCGATATCCAAGATGAAGCCGTCCTGGCAAGCTTATGGTTAGAATGACTTGTTACTATTTCGACATATAATGCTGTAGCGTAATTGATTAGTAAGCACTTTACCTGCGGTGACGAGGGCAAACTTGCAAGCTTACAAGGTATCCATAACGCCAAGTACTTCCCGACGCTGCCATGCTTGACGAAGACACGATAAACTGGGACGCGCTACGAGCTCAGAGCCTTCTCCCTGGTGGATTTGGAAAAGAAAGAACACGTGTCTGGTGCGCGGAACTGTTTACTTATTTCCCTGAGCTGCTTAACTTATCGTATCTTCACAGGCCAGCCCTGCTCGGAGTCTGCGTTCCGTCAGAACCTCCTCCATATGCAGAGGTCTCTCCAGAACCTTGTACAAACGATTCGCCCCATCCTGACGAGCGTCAAGTACGTTTGGACACCGACCGGAGCTTTGTGATGTATCCCGTAGGCAATGTATCTCATGGCTACTTTTCTACGAGTGTTCGAACATGTCACAGGCAGACGATAATGACGATAGTCGCCGAACTGTATTGCAAACTTCTCTCAACAGTTTGATCGTTTCCCTCCTCAGGAAGCGTCGGAAGTTGCACTATTTCCAAGGATACCATGACATTGTCACTGTTGTCTTTCTAACTCTTCCACCAGAATTTCAACTCCCTTGTGTAGAAAAGCTTTCCCTCCATCGATTGAGGGACTCTATGGGACCCACGTTAGAGCCTGTATTGGGACTTCTCCGGATCG